CGGGGCGGGAAACCCCCCCCCCCCCCCCCCCCCCAAAGCCTGGCGACTGGTTCCCTCTGGGTCCGGTGGGGACAGCCGGGGTCCCCTCGTGGCTAATCATTGAGCTGGCATGGGGGGTCCCCTGCATGCTCAGTGGCAGACCCAGATGTGAACTGGAAGTACTTGTTCTGTTTCTGATTCTAGGTAGTCTTGGTATTTTTTCCTTCTATCTTTAGCGTAGATCAGATTTAGGTAAGAAATCACACTTAAAATCAACATTTTACAAAGAGACTAAAGTAACCAATAGAGGATATTTTTCCAGTTGAAGATCTATTTCCAGTTTTTGATTAAATGAGTTGTAATTGAAACATACAGTATTCTATTAGGCAAGGCTGAAGAAATGACTAATTTGGCTTTTCCCCCCCCCCCCCTTTTTTTTTCTTTAAGGAACTGGCCATATTTGGAAAGCCTAAAAGACCTCATAGTAGCTTTAACTTTTTCACGGCTGAACGCTTCCAAGAAGCTAAGGGAATTTCAGCTCGGGTAAGCAAGACAAGATTGGTTAGTTTAGGTTTCTCCATTGTTAAAGCTATATCACAACATTTTGGGGATTAAAAAAAAATCTGTTCTGGGTTCTGTTGTGGCTGTCAGTAACTGTGTTAATAATTATTAACAGTTATTTAGCTTGGCTGCAGCATGAGTTATTAGTGTATGTTTGCCCCTTTGCAGCTATTTCTCATCTACTCACTTGAGCCAGTATATGGATACATGGACTGAGAACAGGTCTGCAAACCTTCAGTATCATATACATTCAGCAGTTGAAGGCTTAATCCATTTTTCTTGTCAAAGGAATTATTTCATCTTTCTCTACTGCTGTCATAGATATGGTCCAAAAAAATAAGTTGTATCAGTTTAGCTAAAGTTTTATCTAAACAAGAAAGGTGTACCTCTTAACTGATGGTAAAAATTTAAAACGATGGTGCGAAACCTTGTGTGGATAAGTTTATTTTAGTTCTAGGGTCGTATTGATTAGATAAGCCTGTCATAAATCTGTTTAAGTCCATTAGAAATTGAGCCATGCTAAATTAATATAAGGCTTTATTAAATTAAAATAACTAGGTTTACACAGGCATTTTCACCAGTTAAACTAAATTAATTTAAATTTGTACTTTAAATTAATCTGCATTTCTTGTGTTGACAAGTACTATGATGTTTATAAATCCATATAGTTACACTGGTGCAATTTTACGTGTTTGTAACTGTCCTAGGTTCTGTTTTAGTAATTAATGTGAAACTTAACTGATTCTGTCCAAGAAAAGATGATCCCAGTCCAGCTTTGATGATGCTCTTCATTATTGGAAAGAGCTTTTTGAGTGATGCAAGGAATTTCCCCCTCATGTTATTCAGACTCTCTCCTGTCCCCATCTTACCTAGATCCAGTATTAGGAATAGCAAGTTTTAAGCCGTTTGCATCTTGTGGTGGTATAGCTTGTTACTGACTTGATTGGAAATAATAGAAATATATACATAATCTTTGGGGCAGCTGCCCATCAACCTGTTTCCTAGTTACCCATGAGTTTATAGTGAATGAATGATGAAGGCTTTGTTCAGTAGTTAACTCAGCATTTCTCAACCTGTGTGTTGCAAGAATATGCGAAAGGGTCGCAAACAACTTCAAAAACAGATCAGACTTTAAAAGTGGATTCTCCTTTAAAGGAGAAAAAAATGTGGGGAACAGTGGCTTTTCCCTTAGGCTATCAGAGTACCAGCCCACAAGGGGCTGTTTGGGGCCTCCTGTGCCCCACCCCCATGACCCCCAGCCCCACACACCTCCTCCACATGTGATGGGGGCTGCAGGTCGGGAGCGAGGGGGAATGGGTCAGGAAAGGCCATCCATGTTTACAAATGGGTCCTGGTACAAAAAGGGTTGAGAACCACTGGTCTAACCGATGGTGTGGGGTGACCAAGGCAGCAGCCTTTGTGGGTGAGGACAAGGAGGGTGTACAAAAATAGCTACAGCCACAATGGCAGCTGCTCACACCGCTGATTGACACTACAGTACCTGACGCTGCCTTGGGCATTGTGCAGCTATCCCAGATGTGGAGCTGCCTGGTTATGTCTCTGGATTTGTTCCATTTATGCAATTTATTTACATTGGACTGGGTTCCTAGTGTTGAGAGTATAATTTTCACTTTTCAGGAAACAAGTTGCTTTTCTATTTTTCTCTTCTCCCTGCTTTCCGCTTGCTTTCCTTTAGCTTCCAACTTTTTGTTTCATGACTTCCCTCTAACTTCAAATTCAATGAATGACCTTTTACTTTCCCATTCCTACCTTCCTGCACTGTCAGCCTTACTCCTTGCTAACCTCCTCATCTTCATCACTTCTATTGGTACTTTCCTAGTTTTCATCTCTGGTTTTAGACTAGATGGGGAACTGTTGATATTCTGAGTCGCTTTATGTGGACATAGAATTGTTTCTTATTCATGAAGACTTTGTGGTGATTAATATTTTTAAAACATAAAGTTCAGATTAGTAAGAAAGAAACAGCAGTGAAATCATCAACATATCTGCTTTCTAAAATGCAAGCAGATAACATGAAAAATTGTTTCATGTAATGTTTATATTTGTTTGTAAGACACAAAGTGCTGATACTTTGAACTAACCAACACACATTAGCCTTTCTTAAGTTATGATTTTACCCTTTTAAGAGCAGAAAGAATGTTGGTTTTAAATGGAGCTGAATGTTAAGATGTTAAATAATTTGGCTTTAGTGAAACTTTATTTTCTTCTCCTTAGTATGCTTAAGAATTGTATCTAAAATTTATTACAGAAGTTGTTTAAAAAAAAAAAAAAAGCTTGTGCAGGCTGTTCCTAAATAAATGTTCTGGAAAAGCTCATGTACCTTCCCTTTTTTCATAGGAAAAGATTAAATGGTTAGGTGACGAATGGCAAAATCTATCCAATTCTGAAAAACAGGTATGTGTCTGTTGGTTTTGGCATGGGATGACTCAATCCAGGGTGTGACGGACTTGAGTCGGAATAATAGCACGACTTCATTAATTCTAGAGGCAGCAACTGTTTAGGTATAGTTGAGAAGACATTTAAGAGTTTGTTTTCAGGTACTTCATTAATTTTTGAAGAAAATTATCTTTTTAAGCTTTTACCTTACAATTATTCTTATTCCAACAGTGATTATTTCTTTACATGCTCGTAAAACATAATTAGGTTGGGTGGCATGTTACAATATGGCACAAGTGTTTTTCACCAGTTAATTTCTTCAAATTTAATTATTTCATAAATAAGATATTTTGTTGTTATTGGAAACCTCAGACTAGCAGTGAATTGTGGTTTTTTTGTGGACAGCAGTTTCATGAGGCAGGAACATTTTCTGGAAGACATTATTTAAGGAGTTTTTGTAACAGTTAAAATGAAAAGACATTTTTCTCAATTAAATCACTTAAGGCTTAAATCTCAGTAGAAGTTTAAGGTTGAACGGTATATGTTGTACTGCTTACAGGGTTAGTATCATGCACCTATGTGGCCGTTTCCCACTTCAGCTGAAAAACTTGCAAACATTTTAGGGGTATGATTGCCAGTGTTTTAAATATGTAGATGACTAAATTTTTACTATTTTGTTTGCTCTTTAACATAGGACTGTAGAATAGCATCATGTTAGTAGTTTCATGTGTGTTGATGAATTTGTTGTCAAAAATAATGCATGCTTAATAAAAAACATTCTGCAATGTTAGGAAGAAAAAGTACCACAGAACTGGGTGGAATTGCCTGCTATCATGTGCATGCAGTCACTCAATAAATAAATAACATACATGTGCATATGTGTAGAAAAGGAAGGGGAAAATGGTGTTTTACCTAAGGAAACATTGTGACATAATGCATTTTCTCAGAACTATGTACAGTTGGCTGAAGATGATAAGATTCGATACGCAAATGAAATGAAGTTCTGGAAGGAGCAAATGATTGAAGCTGGACGTGAAGATCTTCTAAGTTGGGAAAAAAGATCCAAAATGTTAAGGAACAAAGCAAAAAAGCCAGCATCGGTTTCAAAAGTAAAAACTGTAATGAGTATTAAAACAGCCAAAGCTTCCTCATCACCTGAAGTTCTGGCAAAAGTAGTCAAGACAAAAAAATCTGAAGAATAAAGCTGGTAAACATTTTATATTTTATTCCTTATGATTGCCATGTCTTTATCCTGCTTGTAAAAAGATTATTACATCATTCTGAAAAAAAACTCAGATGGGCTGCAGAATATATTTAACTTGAAAGTTATGAAAGGAATTTGAATCGCTCTTAGAACTGTTTAAAAAAAATGACCTCTCCTGCTGTAACATTGTAAAGAAGTAATCCAAGTTAATCAAGCTGTGAACATTTTTTTTTATACTGGCTTCTTGGAAAATCATTCTTGATTTGGAATAATACAGACAAACATTAGCTTTTTTTTTTTTTTTTTTTTTTTTA